ACCATGTGAAGAGTCTGGATAAAATAAGTAGGTAACATAGCAGGTAAATGGTATGGTGATACCGACTGATATCCTGTGGTTCAGGATATTTTTTTTTTTTTTGCAGGAAACGTTTCACCACGAGTGGCTTCATAGATGTGAGTTTGTTGATATCATCAGTCACGTGTTTATAATGTGGGTGACGAGTCTGGACTGGCAAGCCAGGCGCTATAGGCAATCCCGGGTGCCTGCCGTTGTATCGTATTATCTGTATGGCCCTGGTGGTTTAGCGCTTAGTGTTATTATAATAATGTATTAAGTCATACAAGGAGTAATATACCATGTCTCTCTTGTATATTAAACATAATACCATGTATAGGATGTGACAAAATATATGTAAGGGAAACAGCAAACTCTCTGGATATTAAGATCCGTAAGCATAAGACGACCTGCAGCCGTGACACTAAAAACTAGTGCTTCCAACACAGTCGATGTTGGACACCTTATGAATTTCAGCGAGACCAGGTTATTAAGATTTACGACGACTCGGGTGTATATAGGCTGCCCTAATTACCGTCAGTAGCATAATCCATCAAAAGTCCGGCAGTTGCACAATATCCAAGTTGTTGTTCCTCCTGTTAATCTTGATCATCCTTCTTTCTCGCCGCTACCCACTACCACCCACCACTTATACAGACATTCGAGCTGCGCACCCGTGCTGAATGGCCACAGGACACACGGGCCTGGTAGGCAACGCTCTCGCTTCACACGCTGTGTCGTGGTTCGATCCCCGGCAAGGGTGGAAACATAGGGCTGTCCCGTTCACCTAGGAAGCAAGTAGGTACCTGGGTGTTAGTTGACTGGTGTGGCTTGCATCCCATGGGACAAGGTTGAGGACCCCCGATGGAAATAAGACAGACAGCCCTCGATGACACACTACCTTTCTTGAGTTATTCAGGGTAACTAACCCTCCGGGGTTAAAAATCCGAACAAACTCTTATCTTAGAGCTTCATACCAGCGAGAACACGGCCCTGAGACACCATATATATAACTGGCTCTTGCGGTAGCATCTCTGCTACTCCCTGCGAGCTCTGTGTGAGTGGGGAAAGTAGCATACGAGTCTTGTTGAGTTGCCGTGCTTCAATTACAGGAAGTCTGCGACGATTATAGCTAACTGCTGCACCACTTGTGCTGAAGAAGACTCACAGTGCACTTGTGATACGGTTGCCCCGCCATAGGGCTGTAAACAGTACTCCACTTGACCCAAAGGCTCACCGTGTTTGTCATAGGGTTATAAATTCTGACACTCCTGGAGCCAGTGACGAGTCACCATGTTGCAAAGATCTGTGTCAGGACTTCATTGCTGGTGAATATATTATCCTTATCTGTATTAAGACTAAAGAGAACACTCGTGACAAAACGTTTCTCATATAAAAATCTTTGAAAGGGTCCTAAGAAGCAAAATCGCCACCCATCTAGATTCCATCAATTACACAACCCAAGCAGCGCTGTATAGCCCTTGTGGCTTAGCGCTTCTTTTTTTATTATAATAATACACAACCCAAGGTAACATGGGTTTAGAGCAGGTCGCTCCTGTCTGTCCCAAGTACTGGATCACTACGACAAGGTCCTAGATTCTACAAGATTGATGGACTGAACACATCGACTCCAGGCTGAGGGACTGATTACCTCATACTCCTCCTCTCCTTACGCCTTCCTCTTTGTATTGGACTGATGAAGTCACTGTGTGGCGAAACGTTTCCTGAATAAAGATTCCCATATGCTGCATAAGTGTCTCAATCTTCAACTTGTCGGTTTTTCAAACCATTCATCACAAGGTCCTAGATGCACTAGAAGACAAAAAGAATGCAGATGTAATATACACAGACTTTGCAAAAGCCTTCGACAAGTGTGACCATGGCGTAATAGCGCACAAAATGCGTGCTAAAGGAATAACAGGAAAAGTTGGTAGATGGATCTATAATTTCCTCACAAACAGAACAAAAAGTAGTAGTCAACAGAGTAGTCTGAGGCGGCTACGGTGAAAAGCTCTGTTCCGCAAGGCACAGTACTCGCTCCCCTCTTGTTTCTCATCCTCATATCTGACATAGACAAGGATGTCAGCCACAGCACCGTGTCTTCCTTTGCAGATGACACCCGAATCTGCATGACAGTGTCTTCCATTGCAGACACTACAAGGCTCCAGGCGGACATCAACCAAATCTTTCAATGGGCTGTAGAAAACAATATGAAGTTCAACGATGAGAAATTTCAGTTACTCCAATATGGTAAACATGAGGAAATTAAAACTTCATCAGAGTATAAAACAAATTCCAGCCACAAAATAGAGCGGAAAACTAACGTCAAAGACCTGGGAGTGATCATGTCGGAGGATCTCACCTTCAAGGACCATAACATTGTATTAATCGCATTTGCTAGAAAAATGACAGGATGGATAATGAGAACCTTCAAAACTAGGGATGCCAAGCCCATGATGACACTCTTCAGGTCACTTGTTCT